GGCAACATACTATCTCATAAGCCTAGATCTGCAAACAACAATGACTGGGTTTACAGGATAAAGCAGTCTATATTTAGATAAAGAAACATTACATCTTAGTACTATGCAAGAGCCCAAATTTTGTTTCATTGCATTTATGAGAATTTCGGCCCCCCGAGGCTTTTTTTGTAACAAATTTCAAGCTTCAAACTTGAATTTTCTTTTAGTTGTAAAACCATGGTCATATATATATATAAATCACTGAAGTTGTTAAAAGAAATATCATGATGTGTTCTTGGAGATCTATAGAAAAGCCATTTACATCTTTGTTTTATGAGATAGCAAGTCCGTAGTTCAAGCTGTCATTAACCTCAGCCAGATTTGAATTGTTGTAACATAGGCTAGCTTGGAAGGGAAAAATTTCAATGTGATGTAGACAGTGGTGAAATCCAAATTTTTTTACTACCGGTTCTGTGGCTTGGTGGATGTGGTGTGGCTTGGTGGGCATGGCAGGGGAAGGTTACTACAAAATCCCCATTCCCTCCCCACTCCTGGGGGAAGGATATTGCAAAATCTCCATTCCCACCCCACTCTGGACCAGCAAGAGGTGGTATTTGTCAGTTCTCCGAAGTACTCAAAATTTCCGCTCCCGGTTCTTCAGAACCTGTCAGAACCTGCTGGATTTCACCCCTGGATGTAGGTAAAGTTCTACCAAAGCACAAACTCAGCTAAGTATATGAGAAAAAATGGGTACTTTTAATTTTAAGGGGAGCAATCAAGAACAAACAAAACTAGAGGTTTTTCTTCCATTCTAGATCTTGCTTGCTGTATCTTTGGAAACACCATTAGAAATAATGCTAAACCACCTAATCTACTTTTGTATGCTAATAGCTTTTAATCTTTCATACTAACAACCAAAATGTTTGCATCAATTCCCTTGGGCTTTGCGGTCCAAGTTGGCATTTATTAGCACTGAGTTTTCGCTGCTCGCTTTTAAACAGATGGTAATGATTTTTTGTAACTTCAAAAGTGGGGAGGGGGGGGAGAGAGAATAAAAGAAATCAATCTGGAACAGTGCAAATAAAATAGCACAATGGGAGCCTTTGGAAGGTTAGGACTTTAACTATGCAGGCCATGCTTGAGGGTGTGTCCCCATGTCGAGGCAGTTTCATAAACATCACTGATCAAAAGGAATTCCACTTGGTTCAGCTGCTAAAATGCACTGTGCAGGGTCTTGTTTCTATTTTCTAGAGGAGAGATGTCTACCTTGTTAGCCAATGGAAAATTGTGTTCCAAACCAATCGGAAGTGTGAGAAGGGTTAGCATAGCAGATCATGAGACAGAGCTGAGAGACTTTGAATTCCAGCTGTATGGCTTCCTCTGGCTTTCAAAATTCTTATTTTGTTTCTTTGCTATATCCATCTGTCCGCCTGTCACATTTGTATAACATCCCATTAAGGAGTTCGGACCTTTCTCTATACAGGGTTTTTTACTTTACTCTCCCACTAATTAATTCTATGGGGCAGAATGAGGGCAAGGAATAGAAGAGAGGGCCTGGGCGGATACATCACACGAAAAGGGATTTTTTTTACTGATGAAATACACTTTGCACAGCCACATTATGCATTAATACAGTATCTCCCATCTGAAGTTTCAGTATTGTTTTCTTTTCTCTTTCTTTTCTCAGTTTATATGCCAATCATTACTCTAGTTTGTTCACAAATGTGCGTAATTCATTTTTATTTGTTTCTTCTACTGTAAACATGGATAGCTATTACTGTAAAAGCTTAATTTGTAGGAAGAAACTTTGCTTCCCTGGAACCTTTTTAAATACTTCTTTTCTTTTTATCTCATCCAGAATATTTTGCATTTTCTCTTATCTCTTCTTTTTAAGTTCAAAGTTATGTTGTATGAAGTAACATCTGATAAAAGTTTTATTTGAATGCCAAACCATTTCTTGCACTCAACACAAAAATATATTGGGTCTAAAACTGGATTGTGCTTAATTTTTATCTAATTTGCAATTTTCTGTGTGATGGTAGTATGGAATAATTAAATATATGGTGTCTAATCTCATTAATTGTGTTCAGTTAATTCAACTAAATCAAATCTTGGCCAGAATAAAAAGGAGATTATCACCCTGAATTCACACACTTCCAGTTCAAGCTCAACCCTTGATTAATTAGACCTCCCTGCCTTTACTGATACTCCAAAGTAATAAAAATATAATGCTGCATTTCCTTAATCATCCTTTCAAGAGACTAATGTGCTTCTTGGAGCAAATTATCTTAAAACTGGAGGCAGACCAGACTGATTCTCAACTGTTTCCTTTTGCCACTATGAACTTCAATGAAAATGTTTACACAGAAAACTCTAATTTAGTGTAAGCAACTCTTTGGACCACTGGTACATTGAAGCTTTGAAAGCCTCTATTCTTACAGCCTAGGAAATTAGGGAGTTTACAGAGCTGATGGCACAACAGTTGCATCACAGTCCCTGTTTTTAGCATTTCTTGCCTTACTGTTAAATAAAACAGGAAGCTTGAAATTCTTGAGATAGGTAGGAGGCAAGGAAGGAAATGGGTCCAAGCTAAAGGCTTCAGCATCCTGAGTCAGGAAAGTGCTTAAAAGAACACAAATACACTACAATGAAAAGCACTTAGCATTTAAAGGGACCAGAATTGAAAAATGCAAACAAAAACCAGAATCTAGTATCTTCCCAGATTTGTGAAGATTTTTTTGATAAAAGGCATCATGATCACTGATACCTGATTGCCGCAGGGATGATTTCTTTACAACAGGGCTATCAAACTCCTGGCCCACTGGCCGGATGCTTCATGCGCTGGCCAGGCCCACGCCTGGTTTAGCGAAGGGGAAAAAAAGTCCTGGTATGTTACATGACGCTGCTGTGACAATGCTTTAGAGTAAAGAAAAGCCATGGAGATAGGATTCTTAAAAGTAGGTGCTTTTTGCTTTTAATGTACAAGGGTTATCATGTACTAGGGACAAATTTTCTGACATGAAATGACTTGCCTCCAGAAATTGTGGGTCTTCCAACATTGGAGGTTTTTAAAAAGAGATTGGGCAACCATTTGTCCAGAATGGTATATGGTCTCCTGCATGACCAGGAGATTAGATTAGAATACCCCCAAGGTCCTTTTCAACTCTGTTATTCTGTTATTAAAACTTTAGTCTTAGAAAATTACAAATAGTCTAGGGTCTAGATAAATTTGGAATAATATTTTGGAATTAATTATTAAAAAAATCTTCCTGTGAGAAAATCTTTTGCTCTGAATTTTTTAAAAAAACCTTTTTAAAAATTAGACATTCATTGGAAATAAAAATTACCATTAAAGAGAAGAACACATGAAGTTGACTTATAATTACAGAATGGAGCAAAATATTCTAACATTGGACATATTGAAAGTTATTTTTTTTATATAAAAATGGACTCAGGTTATTAATATCAAGATAGAATGTGGTATATATGGAGAGACTGTGCCTACAATGATATGAAAGAGGACAAGTTTTATCTGAGAAGATCAAGAATGACTTTTCTTTACTACATACTTATTTTCTTTTCTATATATCTTCATATTTTCCCTTTTTATCCTTCCTGCATCTTCTACTCTTTCTGTTTTTCTATATTTAAGTTTGTATAAAATTGTTGCTGCTGCTGCTGCTGGAAAACATTATCAAACCATCATCAGTGCTAGCATGATGGAAATGAAATGTCTGCAAGAAAGCATCCGAGCTCAGAGAGCACCAAGAATCCCACAAAAATAAAATCTGAAGTTTAAAATTCTATATCCTACCAATCTTTTCAACTGGGAAGAAAATATCTCTCCAATGCAATGTATTAGAAACCTCCATGGATTCTCCATCTCTACTTTGTAATTCTAAAATGGTACAGAAGTCTCCAAAGATTTAGGACGTGCAGCTGATCAACTCATCTCCTCCACTCACCACATGAAGTGCTGAAAGTGAAGCCAAGGAAAGACCTCAGCACTTTTCTCTTTATACATCAATGCACCTTAAGCGCTTCCATATGTTACTTTTACATTTACTGGTCTTGAGTCAGTAACCTCTAAAACTTATTTTGGAAGAGCTGAGGGAACGCTCTTTCAATAAAATGGAGGATAAAAGAGTGTGAAAGAAGGTTACATGTTTGGAATCCAAATGTCAGTTGCAGTTAAGATGAACTGCTCCATATTAAGATCCAGCCAACTGACTTGTGCTTTGCTGGAAAATTCCAGAAAAGAGTATGCAATTGAAAAGAATGCTGGACCGTTCTGGGATTGAATGGGACAGATTCCTGGATGACTGACCCGCATCTTGATTAACTCCTCACTTCGAAACATTATAAAAGAGCAGCTTTGTTACAGAATATGTGATTTAGAAATAACCACTCTCAAAGCTTTACCTATTATTTTCTAAGTAGGTTTTGTGCTTTCTGTGTTTACCCATCCCTGTATGGCTTTTAGTTCTTTTCAAATTGCTTAAGTGGATACCAAATTTTCTAGCTGATAGATTTAATCCAATCAGAATAGAGCTGGTAGGAACTTTGGAGGTCTTCTAGTCCAACCCCCTGCTCAAACAGGAGATCCTATACCATTTCAGAGAGGTGGCTGCCCACTCTCTTCTTTAAAAACTCCAGTGATAAAGCACCCACAACTTCTGAATGCAAGCTGTTCCACTGGTTAATTGTCTTCACTGTTAGGAAGTTTCTCCTTAATTCCAAGTTGCTTCTCTCTAATAAGTATCTGCCGGGCTTCACAAATGACTCCACAGACATGTGGATAACACCTGAGGTAACTTCTTTATTCAACTCGTAAACTGGGATACAAACAACTCTCCCCTCAGAACAGAACAGAGAACGTTCGCTGACAGCTCTTTTATACCGGCTGTCAGCTTAACCAACCAATCACAAAGCTTCAGCCTTTCCTACATTCCAACAGAGTGGGCTTGCACAGGGAACCTGCTCAGTACACAACAACCCTTCATCCCTGGAAAGCGCACGCGTAGTCTTAAGGTGTGTTGGCCGACGCCAGAGTCAGCCAGAGCGTCGGGGCCCTTCCGGATCCAACCGTTTGTCTGCACCTTCCACGGCCCCGGCTCCCACGACTCTCGGACTTGGACGGCTGAAGGTACGGGCCTCATTTGTTCCTCCATTTGGGTGGTTTGCGTGTCTGCTACCGATGTTTCGGCCCCTGGTGACGCCGTGTTGCATGTGTCGTTCATTGGCACATCAGACCTACCATGTGTGTGTGTTCGAGGCCGAGTCGGGCTCCGGTGTTCCATAGCCTCGGAAGTTATGCTCTCTGGGTTTGCATCCATGACATCTCCTTCCCTCCTAGCTCCTGTATTACCAGGGGCCCTCCTACTACGTATTTGGGCTTGGTGTCTTTTCCAGACCCTGCCATCTCTCATGTCTATCTTGTAAGAGCACGGGCCCATTTCAGATAATATGGTACCCGGCAACCAAAGGGGGTGGCCAGCGTAGTTTCGGGCATAGAACAATTCCCCTTGGTGAAACCCATGGTGGGCACTGAACGAGTCTAGCGGTTTGAGAGGGGTATAGCAGGGGTGTAGCCTGTCGAGCACTATTCGTAGCCAGCGGCCCATAAAGAGCTCCGCCGGGCTTCGGTTGGTTAGGGGGCAGGGGGTAGAATGCTGAATAAGTAAATATTCCGAAACCCGGGTGGCCCAATTCTTAGTGCCCATGTGGCCCAATGCCTCCTTCGTGGACCTCACGGCCCGTTCAGCCAAACCATTACTAGCAGGGTGGTAAGGCAAAATAAGGCAGTGCCGGATCCCTAACCCTGCTAAAAATATTTCAAAAACGGACGCTGTTAGCTGGGGGCCATTGTCTGACACCAGCTCGTCGGGCAGGCCATGAGTGGCAAATAGGGAGCGTAAAACCCGTATTAGCACCTCAGCAGAGGTTGATGGCATAGGAACTACTTCGACCCATTTAGAGAAGGCATCTACAAGAATTAAAAACATCTGACCCTGGAGTGGCCCCGCAAAATCAATATGCACGTGGGACCACGGCCCTCGGGGTTCTTCCCACACTCTGGGTGGTCCTTTAGGTGGCATCGGCCGGGATTCTTGACACTGAGGGCAGGTAGATACCCAGGTATTTATGGAGTCATCCAACTTAGGCCACCAGAGGTATGCACGCGCCAGGGCCTTCATCCGCACAATACCCAGATGGCCTGCATGTAATGTAGTAAGAATGGCCTTTCGTAGTGGAGCGGGGACCACTACCTGATGACCCCACAGCAAACACCCCTCTTGCACTGCTAATTCAGACTTGCGGAGAGCATATGGCTTCCAATTGGGGCCCACCTCCCCAGGTGGCCACCCACGGAGAACCCACCCCAGGACCGTAGCAATCTCGTGGTCTCGACAGGAGGCCCGAGCAATGTCAGCAGCAGTGACAGGTAGAGGGGATTCATCAATGAGGAGAAGTTCGGAGACGGGAGACGGATCACATAGAAATGTTTTCAAGGGGCAGCGGCTCAAAGCATCTGCATGGGCCAGATGCTTGCCCGGGATGTAGGTCAAGGCATAATTATAGGCTGAAAGGAAAACAGACCAATGAGTAGGCCGGGGAGACAGGATGTGGGATATTTGACGGTCCCCAGATAAGATTCCCAAAAGAGGCTTATGGTCAGTTACCAAAGTAAAACGCCTGCCATACAAGTAATCGTGAAACCTCTTAACCCCTGAAACCAAAGCTAAAGCTTCCTTGTCCAGCTGAGAGTAATTTCTCTCAGCAGGGCTAGAGTACGGGAAAAGAAAGCCACAGGGGCTTCCCTGCCATTAGGAAAAACGTGACTAAGGACAGCACCCACCCCATAGGGCGAGGCATCACAAGCCAGCACCAATGGTAGAGTCTTGGAATACTGCATAAGTACGGAATTGGAGACGAGCAAGTGTTTGACATTGGCGAAAGCAGAAGCCGCCTTCGCATCCCAGGACCAGGTGGCCCCACGGTCGAGGAGGCGGTGGAGAGGCTCCGCGACCGACGCCTTGTGTGGCAAAAAGACAGCGTAGAAATTCAGCAAGCCAAGAAAGGCTTGCAGTTCAGCCTTGGAGGTCGGGGGGGGGGCGCTTCCAGGAATAGCCTTCGTCTTCGTGGGGGTAGGATGTATGCCTTGGCCGTCGATCAGGAAACCCAGGAATTCCACCTCTGGAACGGCCACCAGGCATTTGTCCTTCTTGACCGTGAGGTTGGCATTGTGAAAAGTAGTGATGACGCGGAGTAGTCGTGCCATCAATTGTGGAACAGTGGCAGCAGAAACAAGGACGTCATCAAAATATGGGGCGACCCCGGGGATGCCATGGAGTAATCGCTCCATCAAACTTTGAAAGATCCCCGGGGCCACAGAGACTCCGAATTGTAGGCGGCAGCAGCGGAAAGCCCCGCGATGAGGAACAATTGTCTGTGCATCGGCTGTCAAGTCATCCATAGGCAATTGTTGGTAAGCCTGGGAGAGATCAAGTTTTGCAAAGACCGAACCCCATCCTAATGTAGCAAGTGTTGGACAACCAGGACGGGGTAAGCATGGTCTTGGAGGGCGTGATTTATGGTCGCACGGTAGTCGGCACAGATACGAATTGTTCCATTCGCTTTGATTGCAATAACTGTGGGAGTCTCCCAACGAGCGTGATCCACCGGTTCTAAGATACCTTGTTGGATGAGCTTATCTAACTCAGCGTCGACTCGGGGCTATAAAGCAAATGGCACCCTGCGCGGTTTGAGGCACCTAGGTGGAACTGCAGGGTCTAGACTGAAGGACACAGGTGTTCCTATGTATTGCCCCAATTTATCGGTGAAAACTGAGGGAAATTCCTTTATTAAGGCATCCAGTTCCGAGGAACTAATGGAATGGATGCCGTGAATTGTAAGACCCAGAGCCGCAAACCAATTCAGCCCGAGCAAACTCGGGAGAGGTCCATCTACGATTACTAAAGATAACCGGCCATTGAAATTTCGGAACTTCACTTTAAATGTCCCGGTTCCTATTACTGGTATGAGAGCACCCTGGTAATCTTTTAGAAGGAGGGAACAAGGTTCCAACTGATTCTTGGATAGCTTTGGTGCGAGCCGTTTGATGGTGCTCCAGGAAACAATAGAAGTGGCAGAGCCCGTGTCCACTTCCATCTGACACAGGCGGCCCTCAATGTATACAGTCAAAGTAATTTTCTGATTTCCCGCGTCTTTGGGCGTCGATTTACAGCGGAGAATCCCCTCTGCGGCCGCGCATGCATAGCTGGCGGCCCGGGCCAACGTTGCATATTTCCCTCAGTAGGAAACTTGGAGTACTTTGCCTGCGGCTGCGCTGAACAGCACACTCTGGCAATGTGTCCCCGGCGTCCGCAACGCCTGCATACGGCCTCTTTGAATTTACAATTTGCTCGTACATGGTCACCCCCACAACTGAGACATTCTACATTGCTGTTAGGCATGTTTCTAGGGCCTGAGGCCCTACCCTTGGTCTCTTGGATACGGCAAATTTCAATCTCTTCCTCCGGGTCAGAATATGTCTCAGCTGTGATCTCGTTAGGGCAGCTCGTTTCCTTCTCAGCCTGGGGTGAGCTCTGGCCACGGGGTAATTCAGTGATAGACAAGGCAGCTAGTTCGGCAGCGCATGCCTCGTCAAGCGCTGCCTGAAATGTTAACTCATGGTTGGCAATCAACCGCTGTTTGAGATTCTGATCGCGTACCCCGCTAACTAGGCGGTCAAGTAAATAGTCCTCAAGGTTTACAAATTCACAGTGATGGGCAGCCCTACGTAGCGCTGCCACATACTGATTAATTGACTCTCCCGGAGCTTGGTCGCGGTGATAAAAATGTTGGCGCCAGGCTATTCGCAAAGGGACCGGCGCGTAATGCTGCTTAAGTTTGCCCATAAAGTCCTCCCACGACCCGGAGTGTATAGATTGAGGGGCCATTAGAGTCATAGCTGTGTCGAACATCTCCGTGCCACAGAAGCTCAGGAAGTAAGCCCTCTTTCTCTCTGGCGATAAATTAGTGTAATCATTAGCTATCAGAAAACATTCAAAACGGACCACGTAAGCATCCCAAGTCTCTTTTCCTTGATTAAACGGAGGGAAATTGTGTGACGCCGCCATGGTGTCTTGTTTCACTTTTACCTTCGTTTCAGCTCACACGCTGCCTTTCTTACAGGGCCGGCGATCCCATCCTTCGTTGCCAGTAATAAGTATCTGCCGGGCTTCACAAATGACTCCACAGACATGTGGATAACACCTGAGGTAACTTCTTTATTCAACTCGTAAACTGGGATACAAACAACTCTCCCCTCAGAACAGAACAGAGAACGTTCGCTGACAGCTCTTTTATACCGGCTGTCAGCCTAACCAACCAATCACAAAGCTTCAACCTTTCCTACATTCCAACAGAGGGGGCTTGCGCAGGGAACCTGCTCAGTACACAACACTTTCCTTGATCAGTTTCCATCTGTTGTTTCTTGTCTTGCCTTCTGATGCTTTGGAAAATAAGTTGACCCACTCCTCTTTGCGGCAGCCCCTCAAATACTGGAATACTGCTCTCATGTCACTCCTAGTCCTTCTTTTCTCTAGACTGGCCATAGCTAATTCCTGCAACCATTCTTCATATATTTTAGTCTCCAGGCCTTTAATCATTTTAGTTGCTCTTCTCTTCACTTTTTTTGTTAGCATCTTTTGTCATAGTTCAGCTTCTCTGAGTTCTTTTTTCCCTTTTATAAATAAATTACACCCGGAATTGGAAGATTTTCTCATCCATATTATGTATCTATATGATGTAGTTACAAGAGCAAAGCTTTTTTCACTTTTCCCAATCTAGTGTGTTCCATAATCCAGAGCTACACTATTCAGAAATTTTTGTCACCATTGTTGAGGAGCCCAGGAGATGTAATCCCAACACTTTTGGAGAACATCAAGTATGAGAAGACTTTTCCTGTAATTTGGCTTGATAATGCAATCAAGTTTATAAGCTTTTTCTTATATTGAAGTTGCCACTCTACATTTTAGGATTTTTTCCTATTTTGTTCCTGCTATCTGAAATTAAATTTCTTTCAATTACATCTGGATAATAAAGTCCAATCTCTTGATATTTAAAAGACTTTTAGAATGCATCTTTTTATGAGTGCCAGCATAAAACTGAAAAAAATAAAAATAAAAAGTGCTTCATTATATTTATTAGTCTACTCCTTAATTGAAAAATTCCAATCTGAGGCTCTTGAAGGTATCATCCTTCAACTGTTTTATAGATCCACAAGTATTCCTTGATTTACATTTGTTTGCTGATAGTTCAGTTACAAGGCACAGAAAAAAGTGACTTATGACCATTTTTCACACCTATGGCAACTGCAGCATCCCTATGGTCACATGATCAAAATTCAGATACTTGGCAACTGACTCATATTTATGACAGTTGGAGTGTCCTAGGCTCATGCAATCACCTTTTGAGATCTTCTGACTAGCAAATTCAATAGGGAAGCCAGATTCACTTAACAACCATGTTACTAACTTAACAATCGCAGTGGTTCACTTAATAATTGTGGCGAGAAAGGTCATAAAATGGGGCAAAACTCACTTAGTCTTGTTTAGCAATGGAAATTTTGGTCTCAATTGTGATTATTAAGTTAAGGACTACCTGTAGGTGATACTTAATTAGGCAATTGTCTGTTAAGATATTCATATAAAATACAACCATCATCAATATAGCTACCACATGTTACAAAGATCTTCTTTAGCTCTGAAATGTTATCTTCAAAGGGAGCTCTGAAATGTCATAAATTTCACCAGATTAAGACATCTTAATTTGTTAAGGTATTGTTACAGATAGTCCTCAACTTTCAACCATTCGTTTAGCAATTGTTTGAAGCTACAACAGCACTGGGAAAAAAATGACTTACAATCAGTCCCACGCTTACGACCATTGCAGCAACATCACAGTCACATAATAAAAATCTGGGATCAGATGAGCGCTATTGTGACTTTCCCAACTGACTTCTGATAAGCAAAGTCAGATTTGCTAAACAACCATGTTTCACTTAATAACTTCAGTGATTTACTTAACAACTGTAGTACAAAACTTTGTAAAAACAGACATGATTCACTTAACAACTGCTTTGTTTAGCAATGGAAATTTTAAGTCTAAGGACTACAGTATCAGTAATTGGTTACAGTGCAGTTTGAGGTATTATTTAATAATGTGTTGTGCTTTTTGGTGTTATTTTTTATATGATGGGTTCAAACATATTTTACAATATAGTCTTGACCTTTTCACATGCATTATTCTAGAATTGTTTGGATGAAACATACTATAAATGTTTCTTTAAAAAATAAAATAATTATTAAACTTTAAAGTGGCTTTAAAGCCGGATTAGAAGCATTACTATAATGGAGAACTGGTTTTTTTTTCAACAGATATGAACTATGGTAACTAAACTGAACTTCCACATTCAAAAGCAATGTCTTCTTAAATCTTTTTATTCAAATATTTAGGCGTTGCAGATGGAAAAGGAAATACTGCTGCCTTCATACCAAACTTAGAGATTTATTGTAGGCCTGTGTTTGGCTAAGGTAGAAACAAGATTCCAGGCTAGACTGACTGTTGCCCTAAATGAGCTAATCTTTTAAATAGAACTGTGGTTTGAAATCTGAATATTAGAAGATCATTTTCAAGATATTTCATACCAGAAATGGGAAGTTATGGTGGTACAGCTTAAAAAAATCATAAATCAATTAACTAAATGACTGACAATTATTGACCTTTCCACAGCACCATGTACTGCATCTGACCTCTCAAACTGACCAGTTGTTATTTCCTATTTGTTTATAACTGGACTGTTTTAACTGTACAGTTTTTAAAATGAAAAATATCTCTGTATCTGACTCCAATTTCTTTTTTTCAGCTAATGACAAATTAGGTCTATTCCTCTAATCCTCTTTATATATTTGTAGTTAAGTATTTAGTAACCCTGCAGCTGTAATATAATTCTACTGTGATATTCCATTCCAGATGTAGTTGTATTCAACAGCTGGGAGGGATATTAAGGGACTATTGCATAATTCCTACCCCATTCTAGCCCAGAGAGAAATTAAAAGCTGCAATTCAGGAACTGTGTCCCTGATTCACTCCTGGTACTTTTTCCTGGTCTGTTTCACCTGTCAGTTTATAGTTAAATAAAGGCCCACATTTTCTTTTAATCTCTGGCCAAGACACTGATTCACCTCTCCTTTCTATTTATTTTTTTCAAGCATATCAGTTCTTTACCTTTAATTGTCAGTCACTTTTGTTGACCCAGAAAATGAAACAGTACAAATTCCATGGTTTTCGTGACATCAAACTTACAAAAGTTTTCTTCAGTACTTGACTTTATTAGGAACATCCTCTTAACAGATCAATAGTTTGATAAGCAGGCTAAATCATTGGTCTTGAAGTTCAGTTTATTCATCTGTAGTCCTTCTTGGAGGGCCAACTTAAATGGAAGAAGGGATGAGGTATGTAATTTATGACACGAGAGACCTGGAAGAACTAACTTGGAGATTAGAAGTCCAACTATAATTGAATATATAACAGATGTCTGGCAAATGTTTCCCTTTGTGTTGTCACATGAAGCAAACCTAGGTCTAGAATTTGGATGAAACTCAGAGTAAAATTAAAATGTGTTGTAAGACTATAATCCAGAACTATTTAAAGTTGCTGCATATATTACATGCATGTGAATGCTGCAAGATACTCTCTGCAGTAACTTTACCCACCTGTCAGAATTACCAACCAGAAGGACCAGGCTAGATGGTAATCTTGGAAATTGTAAACACATAATCTGAGGAAATGTAGTCTGAAACACGTCCATATCATTTTCAATGTTGTTTTCCAGGTATGTTGGAAATAAATCCAATCACAACAAAGACACTAATTGAGCGAAAGCTGATCTTCATGTTTTTGTGATAGACTTATCTAATGCATGTAGTGGAAATATATTACAATATTCCCATTACTCCAGCTGCCCTAGAGAGAAAAATAATAGAGCTGTAAAAGAATGATGACTAAATGCTATGTAGGTTATGTAGCGTTTTAGGTTATGTAGCAGGGCCTGGTGGCTCAGCAGACTAAAAGCATTGTGATTAACACCAGCTGTCTGCAATGACTGTAAGTTCGAATCTCGCCAAGGCTCAAGGTTGACTCAGCCTTCCATCCTTTCTAAGGTAGGTTAAATGAGGACCCAGTTTGTGGGGGCAATAAACTGACTTTGTATAAATATACAAAAGTATGAAGGCTATTGCTTAACGCATTGTAAGCCGCCCTGAGTCTCCGGAGAAGGGCAGCATATAAATCAAATTTTTTAAAAAAATTAGGTTTCAAAGGCAAAGAACTAAAGTACTTTGTGTATGCATGTACACCTGCAATTCCTCAAACCAAACATGTATTCTCTCAGGATCATACTGCAACTTCAGAGGGTAACCACACAATTTCAGGGAAAGATATTGTCACATTAAGGAATTACAGAGAACACCAAGTAATACAACAAACCTCTTGCTCTTTGAATCCAAAGCACTGACAAATCTTAATGATCACTATATCTCATTGAATCATTGGCATCCTTCAGTCTCAAGAGACTATGGTATCGTGTTCTGGAAAGAGGTCCTAAAACAGCATCTAGGGTGACTAAAAAGGCCAACTCAAGTGGCAATCTCTTCCACACTGAGGGCAGATGCATTCTGTCCCCTATCCAGCGCCCAGATTTCACTGGTTCCGGGACTACCTCTTTGCCTCAGCCTGCCGAACAAGTGTCTCTTCGAATTGGAGAAGGCCATGCTGCGCCTTTAGCCTCCAAAATGAACTATCGGAGGTCAAAGTTTCCCAACTGTTAATGTCCATTCCCAAGGCCTTTAGGTCCCTCTTGTAGATATCCTTATATCGCAGCTGTGGTCTCCCTCTGAGGCGCTTTCCCTGCACTAATTCTCCATACAGGAGATCTTTCGGAATCCAACCATCAGCCATTCTCACGACATGCCCCAGCCAGCGTAGACGTCGCTGTTTCAATAGTGTATACATGCTAGAAATTCCAGCACGTTCCAAGACTGCGCTATTTGGAACTTTTTCCTGCCAGGTGATGCCAAGAATACGTCGGAGACAGCACATATGAAACTTTCTCTCCTGCCGTGCATAAAGGGACCAAGACTCACTGCAGTACAAGTTATCACTATATCTATAATTCCAGATACTAGAAGTAGAGTGGGTTTTGTTATTATTCTTTGCTTGTTTCTGTTCAGCATTGTGTATTATTTGCAATGTGGACATCTTGTAATAGATATAGTATATTCCCAATTAACATCATCAGCCATGAAAAAGATGGGCAGAGATGTGTTAACCCTTCATGGTACACCAGACTAAGAATGTCATTAGGTCAATACTAATTTTATTCTATGCTCTAAAAGAAGCTAAAACTGGACTCAACCCATAATTTCATATTCCCATTCATTCCATAAATAATTCTTAATCAATTTGCTTCCTTTTCAGTTGAGTTATAGGTGGACAAGAGAATCTTGTCTAACACCAGAGTTCAGAAATGATCTCTTTCTCTCATAACAATAAAAAAACAATGTTTATTTGAATAACTATAGCACCTCATTAGTTATCTGATTTTCCAGGTTTCAGCAGCTTAATCCCTTATCTACCAGGGAAGGGAATGGTTCTCATCCAGTGGTGAAATCTAAAATTTGTTACCACCAGTTCTGTGGGTGTGGCTTGGTGGGGGGGAGGATAATGTGACTGGGTGGGCGTGGCAAACTTTTTTTTTTTTACTTTTAAAACCATTTTTTCTACAACCTCTTCTGCGAAGAGGTTGTAAAAAATGTTTTTAAAAGGCTCTGACGATCCCAGCTGAGTTGCCTGATCAGCAGAGCTTTTTTTCTTTTAAAAGCCTCTGCCGATCAGGCAACTCAGCTGGGGTCGTCAGAGCTTTTAAAAGCTTTTTTCTTTTACAACCTCTTCGGCCGAAGAGATTGTAGAAAAAATGTTTTTAAAACGGCATTGGTCGCATTGGTAGATGATCTCTGGAGGGCCCGGGACAGGGGTTGTTCCTCTGTCCTGGTCCTATTAGACCTCTCAGCACCTTTTGATACCATCGACCATGGTATCATGCTGCACCGGTTGGAAGGGTTAGGGGTGGGGGGCACCGTG